TCAGTAACGGTTACCGTCTGCTGGGTGCACTGTCTGTTCTACAGCTGGGCGTCACTCTCACACTGCAGTTTAACAACCTCAAGCAAAGACAGAGAGCACGGCAAGAGTGGAAACAGCACAGAAACCTTCTCCCCAGGTAACGCTGTAGTAACTTAATGCTTGTTCCTTCCTCTCCTAACGCCCCCTGGTCTTTTGTTTAGTCCCCTATGTTCACCAAGGCAGCATATATACAGTATACACTCACCTAAAAGATTATTAGGAGGACACCATACTAATACTGTGTTTGACCCCCTTTCGCCTACAGAACTGCCTTAATTCTATGTGGTATTGATTCAACAAGGTGCTGAAAGCATTCTTTAGAAATGAATGAGACCATTTAATTTAATTGAAAGGAGGGTTTCATATGTCTTTTCAAAATAATAATTTGGGCAATACATCACAGGGAAGAAACAACTGTATTGTTTGTTTTGTTCATTCATTATTTTATTACATTAACAGTTATGCTGACTGAAATTTCAACTAAATTAATGAATAAGTGGGACCCTTTCAATTAAATGAAATGTTCTCATTAATTTACGAAGAATGAAAGAAATAGAGTCATTCAGTAAATGAAACATTTTTACAAAAATGTAAAAAGCAACATGATGGCAGAGCTTTCAGCTTATAGATTCCCTTATCCTAGAGTGGAGTGCTACTACAGTAAGTGCTAATGTGGATTTCTGTCTATATAATAAACATTTACCAAAACCTCAATAAGGTTAATTATAGATAAAGTTGGACAGAAACACACCTGTTCACCGCTCATTTTCCCATGGGCAAAGGCGAGCAAATTGATCCCTTATCTTAGCGCCATCTACTGTTCTAGAAGAGGAAGTTGCTCAACTGTATTTGTGAGAAAATCTGATTCTGTCTGGACGCGGAAAAATAGTGCCAAAAGTCACGTGACCGTTTTTCGTACTTGTAGAATTTTGTTTTGTACTTTTAAAGATTTTAGTTTGTACTTGCTGGATATTTTTGTCATTGAAGAAATACGTTTCTATGTATGTAAAACATACTGTATTTGTTTGATAGGTACATTTTTTATTTGCAGAACAATATGCATTAGTTTGTGAGTGATGTTTTGTATTTACAAACCACACTGAGTTTGTTTGTGAATCATTGGGTGTGAGTAAAACACGTTTGTGTGAGGTTTCGGCACATAATTCGCTCCATACAAATTTGGCTTAAACAGCATGAAAGCATGAATCTATCCTGCCTTGTATCAATGGTTCAGGCTGGTGATGGTGTAATGGTGTGGGGTATATTTTCTTGGTACACTCTTAGTACCAATTGAGCAATTGTGTAAATGTCACAGCCTACCTGAGTGTTGTTGCTGACCATGTCCTTTCCTTTATGACCGCAGTGTGCCCATTTTCTGATGGCTACTTCCAGCAGGATAACGGGTCATGTCACAAAGTTCACATCATTTCAATCTGGTTTCTTGAACGTGTCAATTAGTTTACTATAATTTAATGGCCTCCACAGTCACCAGATCTCAAATAGAGCAGCTTTGAAATGTGCTGGAAAAGGACCACAATCTCGGAGGAATAATAAGTTAAGGCAGTTCAGTTCAAGTCATGAGGGGAAGCAAACCAGTATTAGTGAGGTGTACCAAATAAAGTGACCGGTGAGTGTGAGTGAGAGAGAGATTTTTTTTTTTTTCTGGGTCATAAAGTTCTTCATGTTTTTTCTCACAATTCAGACTCAATTCAGAATTTCTTTTTTTTTTCTCGCAATTGACTTTATGCACAGCTGCACTACTTCCTGAACTTAAGCCAGCTCCTTGTTTCCTGTCTGCTATTATAGACGAATCCAGCGAAACTACCGGAAGTAAGCGGGGCGCCATTACTGAGCTGTTGCTGGGTAGCGTTGCGCCATTGCCTCCTATTGTTTTAGTTGCAACTTGCGTCCACTGGAATAAACAGCCCGCGATTTACGACTGTCACTAACGTTACAACGTTACCCCTTGTATAATGTCGAGTGGGTAAACAGTTTCAGTTATAAATTGTTTCAATGGTGGCAGTAAAATTTCAATTTTGAAGAGAAAACACTGTGAATACCCCGGGTCGACTGCCCCTGTCTGGTGCCGTACGGTTTACAGATTTCCTGGGCGAGTACAAGACGTGGACATTCGCGTATAATAACAATTATTTAATGACATAAGTAAAAAATATATAATAAATATGTGATATAGTGATCAGCAAAATCTCCTCTCTTGCTATTTTTTCTATTAAATTAACATGTTATGGTCATTAAATGGCTTTCCTGAGCTAAATGTAACATTATGTGACATAATTGTTTTCCTGCTGTTATATTGACCTCTTTCCATGGTTTAAAAACACTAATTGGTCGATATTATGTATACTTTCTAGTTGTAACGTTACCTTACCCTTGCCTGTTGCAATGTGAAAATGAGATAAATAATGGACACAAATTAAAAACATGAATTTGTTTATTTGATTTCATTCATTTATTTATTTATTGTTGCCAAATGGACAGATCTTTTTATAGTTTCCTCGTTAGCAAACGTTAGCCTAGCTAGCTTGCCAAGCTATTTTCATAAATAACGTTAATCTGTAAGATCGTTTGTACTTTCATCTGTGACTGGAGGCCACTGCAGTCACAGATCAAACCAACAAGTCATTCTGCCTGGCTGTAGCTGTCATCGAGGGTGAGTTCGCGTTATCACCGAGGTTTGTTTACATACCGGTGCACATGTCTATATGCCTGTGTAACAGCTCAGTAATGGCGTCGCCACAAGATGGCAGCCTACACAGAACGCTCGTCGGATTCGTCTATTGGCCAAACTTGATTAATTCAGGTGTGTCTGATTATTGTTGCCGTGACTACTGAGGTCAGGCACACCTGAATCAAGTAATTTGTCCAATAATGGCAGACAGGAAACAAGGAGCTGGCTGAGGTTCAGGAAGTAGTGCAGCTGTGCATAAGGCCAATTGCAAATATTTATCTCGCAATTAAGACTTTTGAATTCTCAATTGTACGTTTTTATCTCAAAATTCGGAGAAAAAAAATCGGAATTGCTGATTATAACTTTCTTCTCGCAATTACGAGTTTATATTTTCTTTATTTTTTTGCTTTAAAAAAAGTTTGAATTGTGAGATATAAATTGCAGTTCTGAGAAAAAAGTCAGCTCACAGGTCTGACTTTTTTTCTCTCGTGATATTAACTGGCAATTTAAAAATCTAGAATATTATGTTTCAAAACTTTTAATTTATACATTTTACTTCACATTTAAATAGCATTTCAATAGTCATTAAACAACGCCATCTCACGTCCAATTCGTACGAATTTGTACGAGTGATTTAAAAGGTCGCTAATTCGTACAAATTCATAGGACCTCACTCGTACGAAAACCCACGTGATGGGTAGGTTTAGGGACAGGGTCAGGGGTATGTCATTCGTACGAATTCATACGAATTGGGCAACGAATTTTAGCAAAAATCGTACTAAGAATTTTTTATGAATTAGCCACCTCGTAAAATTTGTACGAATTGCCGTGAGATCGGGTTGACATGAAACCAAAAAGGTTTAAATATTTTCATTTTAGACATCAGACATCCTTGTTTGTATTTTTATTTATTTATTTATTTATTTTTTTCATTAGTTTTATGGTAATAAATGTGACATTATGGAGTCTTGAGTTAATAATACACAGATTTATTTTGCGTTATTCGCGTTCTTCTTTACACATCTGTTTTTCCTCTCAGTCGTCAGGTCAGTGAGTCATCGCCTCGCTCTTCACGCTGTATCTTGTGTTTGGAGGAGCGCAGAAACACCACTTGTACTCCCTGTGGTCATCTCTTCTGCTGGGAGTGCATTACTGAGTGGTGCAATACCAAGGCAAGACTTTTATATTACATTATGCTGTGGTGTGTTTGCACATAAAGTTCAACATTAATGATGTACAAGAAGTAATTTTCTTTGTTGTTTTTTTTTGTAGACCGAATGCCCACTTTGTCGAGAGAAATTCCAGCCTCACAGATTGGTTTATCTGAGAAGCTACAAGTAGACGTTTGGTTGATCAAGATTATGGGAATTTAACACCCCTTGTGTTTTACTTTCCATCACTGTTTGTAAAACTTACTGTAATTAGTGTTTTAAGATCACATGACTGACATGAAATGAAATGTTGTACTTTGTATGAAATGGACAATGAATACAAATTTATTCCTGAAATTTGTCAATTTAATTTGATTATGCAGACTATTTATCGGTAATTGTTGCATTTCTCAAATAAAATAAGATATTTTTACTAAATTTGAGGTGTGTATTGCTTCTGACAAATCTTTCTAAATCAAATTTTACATAGCACAAGAAGTGTAGCCAATCAGTGATTGAAAACCATACAAACATGAAAAGCCATAGTCAAGACAATCTACTAAAAACAATTGCTATTTTTATTTCGCTACAAAAACTATTTTAAATAAAAAAAATTATTTTACTGTACACACAGACATGAATGATGCTTCAAATCATTCAGCTCACATACCAAAATATCATAGGCTACACTGCGAGCTTTAGTGCTCATTTCCGAGCATTGTTTCAAAATCGAATTTGGGCCACATTTACCTGCAGTCTGAACAAAGCCATAGAGACTTGCGAATAGGCTCTTTTGATTTAACAACCACCCAGATTAGCCAATAGCAATGCAATGAACTAACCACTCAGAACAGTTTAGGAACTGCACAATTCCCATAGCATCTTAGCATTGTGGTGCAGTGTTTTGCATGGGCAAACACCAGCTATGTTCTCTTCAAAAATGTAAAATATAGTTTTTAAAGGTCGTCTCTCGGCTTATAAAGAGATTAATTTACCGGCTCCTCCCAGCAGGTTGGTTGTACAGTAATCTGTTTCTAATCTTCTTAGCTCACACAACGTGTGCTCTGCAGTTTGAAGGTTTTGCCCACAATTTACAGATCATTAACTATAGATGACACAAAATGGGCATTAGCAAATATAACATGCTTCCCCTAAGGGTGAGTGATTTTTTGTAAATACTTTACAGCTAGCCTAATGATGATCATAATTGCCACTGCATTATCCACATGTAAGAATATAAATGTTTAATCGGTTGACATTTAAATTATTAGATCTTTTATTCAATTATTTGGAAGTTCAGCCATTTTTAATGCAGCACTCATGGTTATGTCTGAATATTTTATTGAGCTGATGGAATGAGACCTTGTTTTAAAATGATTGTATTGAAACGGCAAAATGTGAATAACAAGCATCATGCCGTTGCCTGAGGAAAACGCAGACGAGACTCCATATGCGCCGAAAGACGGTACGACAGCTTTATACAAGAACACCCCGCTGAGTAGACGTCCCTCTATACAAACGCCTTTCATTCAGCAAACATTCTTCAAGAGGGAAGCAGACTGCACTTTAGATCTTCCTCACCACAAGAACATTTATTCAGTTTCAGAGAGTGCAAGTGGCTCAAAATACGCCAGGAGAGATACAGCAAGTGATGCTACGGCCCTCATGTATTCGAACACAGCAGCCAAGCATAAGTGTGAGCAATGCAAGACTCAAGAGAGGGATTTAACTGAGGATTCCTCATTATCCCCAGTTTCAAAGAAGAACAGCCAGCCGACCTGCTTTAATTCTGCAGACATTGCTTATAAACCCCAAAAGGAAGCGTTCGCTTTTCAAAAGCAAGATGAAAGGCTTTCCTCCTCTACCTTTCATGATCTTCTTGAGTCCTCGTGGATTTCTGCAAACTTGTATTGCTCGATGCTCCACTTCGACACAACTGAACAAGCCGTCTCTTTTGTGGAACATCAAACGCCCAACATGTCTGGATCCACCTCAGCAGTTTCCTTTCTCTCAATACCTGTTGTCACTGAAAGTGAAAGGCACAGTTGCTACATTCCTAGAGGTATCAAAAGACAACCAAGAAATGATCACTTTCAGTGCTGTGATACAAGATTCAGCTCTAGTCAAGTCCCTAGAGTAGCTATGCGTGGCAATAAACCAAACAAATCTGGACAAAATGAAGATTTTGTCAGAGACACAAGGCCTAATGGCAACAAATTGGCTTTTGAAAGCCCTACAGAGATTAACCCTCATAAAAGGCTTGAAATCCAAGAAAATTTGAGTCTGATGCACCCGCTGGTGATTCAGGATATAAAGAACCATACGCAAACTATGCAAAGAGTTCTTCTTAGAGGAGCATACGAATGTCCTCTTGGACTGGCAGAAAGGAATGAACTAATGTCTATTCATGGCAAATACCTTATATCTCATCAACACTCACCTTTTGCGAAGTGTAAAGCCTTGGCTGCAACAGAAGCTCAGATTTCTGCTCAGGTATGTTGGCATACAAAATCCTGTAATGCAAAGATCCTAAATGAAGCCTCCTGGAATTTATATCATTATATGGAACCAGTTCAAATGGAGAATTCCTCAAGAATTTTAGATTTACAGTGATTAATAGATTTAAAAACTCATCCCCCCTCTGTTTTTCTAATATGGATGAAAAATGATCCATTTCGATCACAAAAATGTAATTAGAATCAAATATGTACAGTCAATTTCAATTCAATTCAAATTTATTTGTACAGGCTACAGCCACACTGTCATAAATGTCAAAATTTTTTAAATTACAAATGAAATTAAGACATTGCTATAATATATTATATAATTTTTTTTATTTATGTTTAGTTATATATTACTGGATTTAGATATTAAGTGTACATAGGTGTGACGCATCCTTAGATATCTACGTTGATGGGTCTGCTCAGCGCCACTTAAAGTCTAACACACCTAACGTCCTGACATTGAATTTTGATAACCTGACATCAGAACCTATATTTAACCAAACAGAAATGTCTTATGCCTGCTGGATAGATTCTTATTTGATTCCATTTGGATTGGTTTCCAAGAAAATCTATTCAAATTCCTTTAAGATTTTTTGGACGAGGGTGTTTTGAAGGGATGATATAATTTGATGTAATTTTAGAAAACCGAACACATCTTTAACATATTTCTTTTTGTTTGAAAAGCTTGATATACCACCAGCAGCTTGTGATGACTTTGATGAAAGGAAAATAGAAGAAAGGTAAAGAAAACAAACTCTGTATCTGTGTCAAATGACTGTGCTTCTTCTGATAGATCTTATAAAACAATAAATGTCTTACTTGTTGTGACTTGTGCCTGTAATCTTGAGCTCAGCTAAATGAATCGAATTAAATGCTTTTTCGAGCCCATGCACTGTGTTTAAATTGTGATCAAGAGAATTATCTGGAGGTTGGGCCATTAAATATGAATGGTGACTGTCATCACTGTTGATTTTTTTGCCAATTGTCACTGTGTTATGCAGGAGTGAGGATCTGTATAGTTTCCGTCTGAGGTTGCGCTGTCTGAGAATGTGGTCCAAAAGACTCCGGTTACTCTCTCAAGCCTGCTGTCATGATAGAAGAAGGGTTTTAAACAAACTCTGCATGTTCTGAGATGGGCCGCAAAGATGCATTGTGCTCATACAGATGCAGTGGAGAGGAGAAGAAGTAATTTCATACTCTATCAGAGTTTTTACCAGGTGGGAAATTTGTACAACTCTATAATACACTATACCCTTGTGATAATGTATTTTATAAACAATGGCAGAGTTTCCTGAGAATATCCCTCAGAAGTTGACTATTGATGAACTACAGTGTTTGGATGGTCAAAAGGCATAATTCCTCATGGGGTGGCACACTGCAGCGCCAGACGCGACGCAAGTGTCTTTTGCTAGTTTCAGCCCAACGCAGTTATCATTTTAACATACTGTGCCACATCGTTTGAATAGCAAATGCATTTTCCCCCATTTGTGCACTGGTCTGAAAATGAGAGGCACATTGTTGGCGCGTTGCTATTTTGAGGCAAATGAATTACACTGCATTTTTTTTTTTTAAAGGAACACTCTGACTTTTTGGGACTTTAGCTTAATCACCATATCCCCCAGAGTTATAGATAAGTCCATACATACCTTTTTCATCTTGTGCTGTGATGCACCCACTGCTAGCCTAGCTTAGCAAAAAGACTGGATGTAAATGGATACAGCTAGCATACTAATCCCAAATAAGTGACAAAATAACGCAAACATTTTCCTATTTACATGTTGTGATTTGTATAGCCACAGAGTGTACAAATAGCAAGGTCATATGAGAAACATCATGGTATTACCTCCCCTGTTTATTGTCGCAGCTCTTTATATATACAGCAAACAGCCATGATTGCTATTGCAGAACTATGCTATTACTATCTAGTAATTGCTGATTCTATACTCCAACCCTGAACGAACTCTCTGCTCCTCACTACGGTGCGTCTCAGTTGCTGCGGTAATCACTCCGCCCAAGTAGCAGTCCCTTGCCTTCTGAGAATATAGTGGTGAATAAGCTAAAGTCCCAAAAAAGTTGGAGTGTTCCTTTAAAGGGCGCATTAGTGATATGCGCATATAGGCAGGTGCACAACACGTGTACACTCTGCTTATTATAGACACAGGGATGTGCAGCCGCACAAAAACTAGCCAAATATTAGGATATATAAGGATTACAATGTAAAAGATTAATATTGTGTACATAAAGATATAGTGGAATCTGCAACTGGCTTTTAAAGGGAATGGGATATGAGACTCTAATTGGTTCATTGCACGTTACACTCAAAACACACCCATTAATCATTAAGAGAATAGGGACAACCCTTTTAGACCGTACCAAACAAGTGTATTTCGCAATTTTGTAGACTAGCAAAATTGGTTCGCTTGTGCCATGCACTTTAGACCATGCCCTTAGATCGATAAAACAGGGCCCATGGTGTTAGACTGTGTTTTGAACAAACCATTTCAGCTTCATATCTTAACATTCTGTTACAGTGGAAGAATCACTATGAGAGCAACACAGACGCTTTAAGAAAACGACTCATTCAGCCCAGCAGAACTATGTTTCTGATGACCACATGTTCCACCTGGAGGAACCCACGTTTGCTCAGAACAGCTGTGATTCATTATCAGTAAGAATCATCCCATAATCTGGGTCAGATCTATAGTTACCTCTGTATGAATAAGAGTTAATAGGGATGCCTGAGTCACCATCTTGGACAGGAATCAGGGTTTCCCTTTGCTAGCTATCATGAGTTTCACCTAAGTTGTGCATAACTGGTCCTGGTTGGTTTGTTACCACTTTTTGGAAACATCGCTCTCCTTTTCTTAAAGGGATACTCCACTTTGTTTTGGAAATAGGCTCATTTTACCACTCACCCAGAGTCAAACAGTTGAGTTTTACCGTTTTCAAATCCATTCAGCCGATTTTCTGATATTTAGAAAAATATCAGTAACCAGACAGTTTTTGGTCTCATTGACTTCAGTAGAAGGAAAAAAAATTACTATGGAAGTCAATGAGACCAGAAACTGCCTGGTTACTGATATTCTTCTAAATAACAAAAAATCGGCTGAATACATTCGAAAATGGTAAAACCCAACTGTTTCACTCTAGGGGAGAGGTAAAATGAGGTAACATTTCCAAAAAAGTGGAGTATCCCTTTAAGCACTTGTATGTAAGTGTGTCTATATGTGCTTGCACCCTGCAGTCTATCTGTACTGTATAAGCACTGGCTGCTGTGGAGGCAGGTGTGTTTAAATCGGTTCTCTAGGAGACAGCAGGAGAGGTGGGCATGTGTGTGTTGGGTCAGACGACTCCGGAGCAAAGTCTGGACCCTGTGGATATTAACCTGGCAGAGAAACCAGCTGGCCACAGATCAATACAGGTACAGGCATTGTCTCAATGCTATATACATGTCTGTGTCATGCACATGTTAGTGCAGTATATTTTTGTTCAGTCTCCCAAATGTTGATTTTTATTCTCAGAATTTGCTAACTATATCTTATATACATATCCCATAATGTTTCCCCTAGATATCAATGAGATCTCTGTCTTTCTTTAGAATGCATTTGTTAGCATCAGCATGGAAGAAATGGAAGATCCGTTACCATCTGAACAAGCTGGAGAAGTTGAAGCAGTCCACTCAGATAAGCAGACTTCTTCACTCCTTCCATCGTTGGCAGAAAAGAGCAGAATCCCGTCAAAGAGAGAGAGAAAAACAGTTTGTTTTGAGCCGGTAAGGGTCAATCGGACTCTCACATCATCACCCTCATGTCATTCTCTGGAACACCAAAACAAATGTGCTTTTAGGGGTACAAAAGTTAGTCACTGGGACAATACACTTAGTAGTTTGGTTTGCTGCTTTCATTCGGTCCCAAAAACCAACAACATTTAGGGCCAATCCCAATTCTACCCCTTACCCCTTCACTTTCCCCTTCCCCTCCGTTTTGCGCGTCCACGTGAAGGGGTAGGGCTGTTCCAATTCTCTTTTGGTTGGAGGGGGAGGGCTAGGGGAAAGGGCCAGATAGCCCCTCAAACGAAGATTTTTCGGGAGCACACTTCAAACGAAGGGGTATGAGAAGTGTCACTGCTAACCCAGGCTACAGACGCAAAATGACTGCCCAAGCAAAAAAGGAGACCCATAAATGTAAGTATTTGTGGCTTTAATAAGTATTGTAACGACAAATGATGACTTGCTTTATGTTACATTCAATATTGTGTTCATATTTACGGTCAGATTCTTCACAGAAACGTTTGTAAAAAAATCGCTAAAATTACTGTAGTTTGCTAACGATAGTCCCGCAACATATTTTCGTCGTCTCCGTTGTTTCCTGCGAACTTCACAAGATAAATGCAAGAAAATAGCTGTAACGGTACCCACGCGTCTGAGATAACTGCAGCTGTCAACGGCATCTTGGAAGTTGTGATAAACATCGGCGCATCTCCTGCGTGACGTAGGCGCTAGCGACAACTTATAATGACGTTTAACGGAGGCGTAGTGGTGTCCCATTTCTTAGGGGAATATTTACACCCCTACGCATTGCCACTCTGTTTCAAGGGTCAAGGGGAAGGCGAAGGGGTAGGGCTAGGGGAAAGTGAAGGGGTAAGGGGTAGAATTGGGATTGGCCCTTATTCCTGGTCTGCTTAGCGCTCACGTTGGCATTTTTAACACCAAACCTTAACGCATAGGGATATATTCACAACCTGATTGGTCTGCTTTTATGGCGTATATTTCAAGACGGAACTTACCGAACATCCAAACAGTGTGCCGGGCTAAATGCGTTCACTGTATGTGCGTAGCATACATATGGTATTTTGACCAGCTGTGCAACATCATGACTGTGACGAGAAAAAACTGTCCTGATTCTGTCCTTTTTAGGGTCGCATCTTGTGACATCATGTCCTGTTTTTGGTTAATTTGCTAGTCTTTGTTACTGTTGCATTTATATTTAATTCGAACTGCACCAGAGTTTGTTTGGAAGTGGACCGGACCCATCTTTTTGACGGTCTGAGTATGCTTGTTTGATGCACAAAATGTATTTATATAGTGCTTTTCACAAAACACACAGTTGTCTATAATGCCTTAGTGCTTTGCCATCAAGTTTTAGGGCTGGACGTTTTAACGATATATAACGTTACGAATGATCTTCTGGATTTAGATCTACCAATATTGTATAGTGTAAGGACATTTATGCATCCTCTACGGTACATCCTTAATGTGGTGTATATAACAATAAGTATAAGGTGTATCCTTAACAAACCTTTTACGGGTAAATATGGTAGAGTGCATGGATGTCCTTTTAAAGTAACACCAGGTAACTTTTCAACCTTCATAATATATTTCCAAGTCTCTTGTGATGGTATATCAACTTACAGTAGGTTGAATGACACATCTGCCATAGCCTGACGGGGTTTGTAGCGTTTTTAATCGTACTTTTCAACTTTTCGGGTTTCGGGTAGTAACCGGCGAACAAAGAGAACTACAAAATTCGACTGCTTTTATGGCATATACGTCACTTCCACCACCACCCCCACTTCCTTAAAATCGGATGTGCGAGCCAAATGTTATAGTCATGGTCGAAGCAGCACAGAAAAACAAGAAAGCAAAGGTTTTATCAGAGCAAAGTGAAAAGAGAAAAAGAGAAAGTGATCGCGTTAAAGGCAAAACGAGGATCAACATTGGGCCAGCGTTTTCTCGCTGGCGTGAGCTGAAGGAGGAGGAGGGGGACCGACCGATGCATACTTGGCTGTCATGCTTAGTATATTGCTTGCATATTTTTTTTGTCTGCCTGACTATGTTACGGAAGCTATCTTATCCTCAGTTTATCTTCATGAATCAAGTAATGATAGTAGAGTAGCGAATTATCAATCTGGTAGCTAGTAAACGATATTCTAGTTTTTGACGGGTAGCTATCGTCTAAACAGCGTGTACAAGTTTGGTAGGGGCAACATTCTTGCAAGTAAATATATAAGATGTACAAAATCATATTTTAGGATACCTAACATGTCTGTGATATTCATATATTTTTCTTGCCTCAAGCTATAATGCAAATCGTTTTGTAAAATTTGCAGATTCATTGGTTATTATCTGGCACTCAAACATTGCATTGAAGTATCATATAGATTCAGTAAAACGGTAACCAATAGACTAGGCTACTATAATGACGCTGGTTTGTAAACGTGAGCATCACGATCATTTGTCGATAGAAAAAAAAAATAAAACCCATGAAATTATATTCATATGACATGCTGAAATATATGCCACTGTACCTGGGATGAAGACATTTCCCACGCGACGCAAGCAGAACACCTGCATGTGACCTCCTCCTACAGCGTTCAGGGTTATCAAGGTTGTCAACAAATGCACGTGCATGTAGGATGACAGAGTTTACAACAGTAGTAGAGGACAATACTGTTTCCCAACTGTAGGGGGACCCCGAGAGCAAAAGTTACCTGGTGTTACTTAAAGGGTATTGTCACGGTGACAAGCTATGTTGAACCTCTAAATGTAAAAATGTGTTACTTTTTTATTCTGAGTGTGAATGTCTTTATGATGACTTGCAATGCTTTTGGGAAACGCACGTTTCAATACGAGAGAGAGTGTGTCAGTGTTGTGATACAAGGGAAAGACGCGCCAGCCCCAAATACCCGGATGAGTGGTTATTGTACAGTAGAGTGTAGCTAGTGACATTTTTGGTTCATAACTGACCATGGAATGTTGCGACTGATCAATCATTAAGTATTTCAGAGAGCCATGTAAAATAACGTCTAAGAAACCATATAAAATTAAAGCTGCAAGCAGCAATTATTGGGGTTCATGCAGTTAAGGCCTTTAAGCACCAAAGCATCAAAAGACATTGTCTTATGTAGGGAGCATTTAACCACTGAGATCATAGATGAAATAGACAATTTTTCCACATTTCAGGGTGATTTTTCATGATTTACCATGTTCCAGTATGATTTACCATGAATCTAGCATGATTTACCATGGTGTCCATCGATTTACCATGTTCTAGCATGATTTATCATGTTCTAATATGATTTACTACAGTTTACAATGATTTACCATGCACCATGCTATGGATGGTGTAAAATGCATGCTTACACACACACACACACACACACACACACACACACACACACACACACACCACACACACACACACACACACACTTTTGGGTTATGTTATTGTGAAAAACCATATCTTACCACAGTTTACCCTGATTTACCACATTTAGCATTGATGTGAAGTGTCAGTACAAATAAACTGGTACACTCTGACAAAATATGAATGTGTTATAATAGTAATGGTTATATAAGTCATTTTACATTGTCTATATATGAACGCAAAAGCACACTGCATAGAAAGGCTATAGCAACGCCTAGAACACCGTAGTTGTGGAGGCGTTTTTTTTTTGTATGGTCAAGTGGTCAAAAATCTAGTTTTTAGGTGAAGGTGTAAATGCAAATTGTTTTTGCAAATTGAGTTTACCAGAAGAATACAGTATAAATGTGCTATACCACATTTGTTTCATTCACAGACGCACCCTAAACTCCTGGCATTGCTACATTCAGAAGATAAAATTAATACGTTTGAGCACCAGAGTCCCATGGGTGCTTTCCAGGCGGATGTTAGCAGGTAGGTGGAGCAAAAAAAAAAAAAAAAATCCATACCGCCATTTAGAAGTGCGTTCAACTTCGTCAAGTGGGCGAGGGAAGTTTATTATTTTGGACAGACCTTCGACCCCTTGATTTTGGAGTCTACTCAATTTATAGTACACTTCAGGCAGATCCATAGACCACAATGCAACAGGATTTTGAAGTCTCTTAATTTACCCCCGCCCCACCACCACCACCACACAACTCTAGTGTATGATAAAGAGTTATTGTGACATTTAACCGCATTGTGTAGCTATGCTGACTGTTTTTACATACTTACAGTTTATTGTATTGTTATCATTTTTTTAATATATTATGTAATAATTGTAAAACAATGTAAAACACATTTGAAGAGTTCCGCCAGTAGTGGGCACAGACAGCGTAAGCAATGACGTACATCCGAGTGAATAAAGACGGAGGGAAGTTAGCGAGGGAAGTGCGTAAAAAATGGACTTAAACGCAACCTGGGATTGATGGCAATTGTTGAAATATGTGCAGTAAACTTCAGGAAGTGGAGAGATGTCACAAGAAGGATGCAAGAAACAAGGATATGTCTGGAGAGAGTGTGCCATCTGCAGGATAAAAGTAGAATACAGACTAGATTTACAATATGGCGTCAAAGCGCTCGGGCAAGGAAAGAGTTAAGAAGAGTACGGGAGAATTTACAAAGAGCTCAACTCTCAGGGTAAGTCCAGCTTGTTTTCCTGTGCTTCATTTGCATTGTGGCTGTTACACTCAAATGATATGTTCAAAAGCTTGCATTTTATACAAATAATCAAGAAAGTTGCAAACACTTTTTTTGAAATGTTGTGTTAGTTGTTCATAAAAGTGTTAGTAAAAGACAAACTTAATATTATCTGAGCTATTTAGTTTTTTTTATTAATTTTGAATGACCATGTTGACCAATAGAATTTATAAGACCTTAAAAGAGGACAAATTGCTCTTACTGGGGACGGTTTATATCCCTGGACACTTGAATCTTGGGGCAGATGTCGAGGCAGGGGCTGAGGTCCAGGGGGACTCCACCCGGAGGTGGTGGAGTTGATTTGGCAGAGGTACGACAGAGCAGAAGTGGACATGTTAGTCTGATGGTGCGTTCTATTATAGCCAACGAACCGACTCGGACCTCGGATTTGACGTCACGTCCACACTTCAAGCGTTCTATTTGTTTTGCGCGTCCGAGTCGGGAAAAAAATGGACGCCACCCGGAAAGCTGTTATAATGGTAGCACTGGCCGAGTACCAGGCACTTACATTAAAAAAATATATATATTATGAGTACACCTTATTAAAACGCATGCCATTTGAACTTAAAATGTTCACTTTATTAATGTTTTTCATGTTAATCTTCTGTTAGCAACGCTAGCAACGTCAGTAATTGCACTCACAACAACCGATTCCCATACCTACAGGGGACGCATGCAATACGAGTGATTATAACCGTCATTTAAAATACCAAAGCGGTTCAAAAACAATGAAAACAATTCATTCTTACAAGTCACAGGGCGCAGCCATCTTGAATTCCGAAACGGAATTCTTGCTCGGTGTCCTCACGGTTGTCCGACGTCCGAGAGGAGAAATCCGAGGAAAGGGGGCGTGTTGCTAGGCAACGTCTGTCGTCCGATTCGGATCTCCGAGACGAATGAATAATAGAACGCACCATCAGCACTGTCCTCTGGTTCGCACTACTGATGTGAAAGGGCCAGCCCGAGTTTAGTTCTCGGACCTAAGGCCACGGCGCATGGTCTAAAAGTGTTGTTCCTATTCTCTTAAAGGAGTAGTTCACTTTTGAAAAAGCTTTTGCTGATAATTTACTCACCCCCATGCAGTGTTGTAGTCGAGACCACCTCACTCGAGTCCGAGTCAAGACCAAGTCATAGAGAGTCGAGTCCAAGTCAAGTCCGAGACCAGATACGGTCGAGTCCAATCGAGACCGAGACCAGTGAGGGCTAATTTACTTTTTTCACTTAGAGAAATCCTTTTTTTTTATTTTACTGAATTTACTTTAGTTTAAAAAATATGATCAGTTTAGGGTAAAAAGGCCACATAGTAGGTGGTGTTAAAAGTAATTTTATTACAATTTGTCATGCGCTATAATTGTGCACTAGAAAATCACCAATCACTGGGCGTCAATCAATTTAAAGAAATATTTTATTAACATACATTAATAATCATGAAAAATATTTTGAATTGAACTCGAGTGGACTCGGGAATGAGTCCTAAAAAAAAAAAAATTTTCGAGTACGAGTCAATTCCGAGTCCAAATGCACACGAGTCCATGACAAGACCATTAAAATATGGTCTCGAGACCGAGTCCGAGACGAGTCCGAGTCTCGAGTACTACAACACCGCCCCCATGTAATCCAAGATATCAATGTCATTCTTTTTTCGTCAAAAAGAAATTAAGGTTTTTTGATGAGAACGTTCCATTTTTCTCCATATAATGGACTTAAGGTCTTATAAGGTCCAAAAGACATTTTCAGTACAAACTGCAAACTGTTCAAATGGCTTTAAACATTTCCAGACGATGAATAAGGGTCTTATCAAGCGAAACGATCTCTCATTTAAAAAAACAAACAAACAAAGTTTGTGTTTTATAAGCTCAAATGGTCGCCTTGCTCTGTTCTGTGTTGCGCGTTTGTGACTCTCCTATTCGAACTCGTTCATCAAAATGAATGAATCTTTTCCCGAGTCAACTTGTTAATTTCGTTCGTTGAATGAACTAAATGACACGGAAAAAGACCCTTATTTATCGTCTGAAATTGTTTAAAGCCCTTTGAACAGTTTGCAGTTTGCACTGAAACTAGTAAAAAAAAAATACTTGCTTCACAGCTGCATTGTGCCGGTGTATGATAGGGCCCTCTATTGTTTATCCTGGAAAGCTCTCCATGGGAGATTACGACCAGGAGGGACTTTTTGCCTCAGGTGTAGGGATCACCCCCGTTCACCCCCGACCCGAGATTTGGAACCGGTATGGTCTGGCCCCTGAGGGTGATCAACTCCAAGAATATGGTCTCTCAACTGAGGTTGTTGAGGCCATTTTTAATGCTAGAGCTCCCTCTACAAAGAAATTGTATTGGTAAGTGCCTGGTTGGTTCACTCCTTGAGTTCCTACATTTAAATTTTACATGGCTGCTATTTTGGCTTGCCACGTTCATGTTGATGGAGATTCCCCAGGTATCTAATTTCTTGCATCTGAGGACTGCAAAATCCTTCCTGGGAACTTACTATAGTCTTAGAAGGCTCATCACCAAAATAAATAAATAAATGAAAAATTACTTACTTTGAACACTAGTTTATTTATAGGTTGTTGCTATGTGGTTGCTAAACTGTTCCATGCGGTTGTGGCACTGATTCTCTGTGTGCTTATATATGACAGGTGTTTATCAGCGTGGAGAACACTGGTTCACCGCAGTGCGTTGCTTCTGCATTACTGTTATCACAGAAAGGTTCAAACACTCAAGACATGCTTACAGCAGTGGAGGAGATCTCTACAGCTACACGGTCTTCAAAAGGAGTTCCTCATCCACCAGTTTCATACTAGACAGAAAAACACAGGTTAGACAATTTTACAAGTATGATTCAAGTATGATTAAGTAAGCTATCTGTGATATACATATCTTTCAAAAGTTTAAGGTTAGTTAGATTTGAAAAATAATGGTTGCATGGCTGCATTTGTTTTATAAAAATACAGTAAACTGTAATATTGTGATATATTATTACAACTTAAAATAAAAAAAGTAATATTCACCAGCCTTCAGTGTTACATGATAATGATTCTTCAGAGATCATCCTAATATGCTGATTTGGTGCTCAAGAAACAGTTCTTGTTATTACCAATGTTGAAAATATGTTCGTATTTTAGGTTGTACGATGGAAGTGTTCACATGGAAATCACGATTTTCAGCGCAAGAACTATCATCCATGCTACTTCTCCACAACACTCTTCATAAGTGGACAGAGATATTAGAGAAACAACATTTGGCACAGTATGCTAAACTCATCTTTTTCTCTTTCTCTGTAACTATATTTCTCTCTCTAGTTATACCTTGCTCAATTCTTTAATTTCTCTTTGAGATCTCACAGATCAGCTCAAGATAGAGCTGTTAAGCGGGCTGTTCTTGTGGAGTGGTACAGACACACTCAGGCTGTTTTCTCTGATGCAGTTCTGCTCTTCACAGCCAAACATCATCTTCATCCATCCTCATCTTCCCCACCCTGTGCTGTATCCACTGCATTACCTCAGGTACAAGACTCAGCTAGCTAGCTAGCTAGCTAGCTAGCTCGCTTGTGGATTTTGTTTGTTTTGTTTAAATTAGCATTTTAAAGCTAGCAGACCCAGACCATAACAGAACTCTTAAAACGTAGACCAAGACTTTTTAAATCAGACTGGAGGTCTCAAAAGCACCATAATACTGCTAATATTGTAGTATCATTGACACAAAAGGCGATTTATTGTCAAACGTTTTGCTCTTTAACTTAGTAACTCCTAGGGAACATGCTGTAAGTATCAGTTGGAAAAGTATAGGTTTTGTATTCTCAATAAGCATATTGTGATTTTTTTTTTTTTTATCATGAATGTTTAATCATTCAAAAAGGGTTATCTGGTAGAATGTAAAACCTGCACAGCAGAAGATGATAGTTTGAAACGAAGTGTGTTGACACATAGAGAGCAACACTGCCCTCTACAGGCCACAGGATCACAGCACAGCCACATATCATGGACCGCATCAGAGGAGCACAGATCATTTATCAGGTAAGCTACACAATTTCATTTTAATTTTAGAATAATTTTAATACAAAGTTTAAATTAAAGATAAAATACCATTCTATTTTGGTTCTTTTTTCCCTTGCAGTAAAATCTCTGAGGAATATAAAGACCCAGGAGATGAGCGAATGGCTCATAGTTGTTTCTATGATCACTGCAGACTTTGCAGATCAAAGGTGTTCAATCAATCAATCAATTGCAATTTATATTGTTTATACATAAATCTTTTGTTTATAATATTTCCCTGATATTTAACAACCACTTTGTATTAAATCTAGTAATATTTATTTATTTTGCAGTTTAGCTTAAAGCAATCTAAACCATTAAATTTACTTGAGAAACTAAATATTAGGAGTTTAGATTTTTATGGCATTTATTCTACCTTTAGTGTTGATTCTTTCCTCCGAAATGTTTATCATTTTACAGGATCCCATAATGAATCATGTTTTTGGATCATTCTGGTGGTAAATTGACATTTAAAACTTCATAGTATAACGGTTCTGATCCAGAGTCAGCTTTGCTTCTGCTGTTTTATTATTAATAGTACGGGACCAAACTGAGTCAATTCAGCAGTCAGTTCTATTTATTTCAATCTGATACTTTTTCATTCTTCTTTAGGTTGTGCTACTAAGAGCCCTCGGCAGGATGATGCAACCTGATCTGAGTCTGCCTTTTTCCCAGTGGAGGAGTCTAGTGCACACTAACAGAGAGATGAGGCTACTGGGGGATCTCTGTAGAAAAAACAGGAGATGTAAAGATCTGACTGTGGCGTTCAGGGTGTGGAGAGCTCATACACAAATACACTGCAGGGCTGTCCAGCACTGGGTAAATTAATTATTAATCAACAAAATCATTTATATTGGTCCACTCGGAGAAATGCTGTTCCATAGTATCTATGCCAACTTTGAAAAAATGGCTTTACAATGGTAAAAATTGGTGTTTTATGTTTTTACACATTGGTCCCTTTTGAAGTGGAACTTTAACATGCCGTCATGGAGTTATGGGTAATGCCCTCTGCCCCACCAAGGGGGTAATCCATCGACCGGAAGTTGAAGCCTCGCGGGAGCTGCCATCTTATAGCAGAACTTCACTTGCGTTAGCATTCCCATTGACTCCCATTCATTTTGGCGTCACTTTGACAGTGAATAACTTTACATCTGAGGCGTTTGAAGACCCCATTTGTCCTTTAATTATTTCTAAAGAAACACGACAATGTATAAAATGCGCCATTACCTTGTAGCTTATGGCCCCGTAGACGTAGTTTTAGTGAAAGTAGGCTAACGATTGCGTCATACCCACGCGACTCTCTGTCGCATAGTAGAGAGATAACCGTATGGACAGGAGAAGAAGCTCGCGCGCAATCGGGGAAACGTGGAGGCAAAATGACAAAATAATTAATCAGAATACTTAGCAAAATTGTCTCCTTCTGCTAGCTCATGGACAGCTCATATTCACACTCCGCCTCTGCATGCTTCGGAAGGGAATGATTCAGATTTCTCATGCCACAGCACTAGAAGACAGACGGATGGCTCTTGTCACATCTACGTAGTCAAGCTCTGTTTGAGGCTGCGCGTCAGGGACGGAAATGCTAAAAAATCGCCAAAAACGGGCTTCAATCGTCTCAATGGAGTTCCAATGAGTCCATTTCTTTTACTGTCTGTGTGCCCCACTGGTGTCTGAACACATGTAATAATAATAATAATAATTCATTACATTTATATAGCGCTTTTCTTGGCACTCAAAGCGTTTTACATAGAAGGGGGAATCTCCTCAACCACCACCACCAGTGTGCAGCATCCACCTGGATGATGCAACGGCAGCCATATTGTGCCAGAACGCCCACCACACAAAAGCTTACTGGTGGAAATTATTGGATGTGATGGCCCGCACCATGCACAGATTAAAGTTGGCCTGATCACGTGAGAAATGGGAAGTCGCTTGTGGTTGTTTGGACAACCGCTTTCTGGTGGGCCTTGATCGACCCTTAGCAAGGGTGCGCAAGCTTCTAATGGTTCCAAAAGGTTTGAACCGAGGTAATCAGTGTATTGGATAGCTGAATGCATGTAACCGTCCTTGCATTCCTCTTTCACTTAAGAAGGTTCTTTGCCTGGTATTAGGAGCATCCCTGAAGGTTGTAGCCTGTGATGCTGGTTTGGGAAGTCAGCATTTTGCATGCTACCTTTGAGGGACTCAGGAAATGGGATGGGTTTACTTTAATACAATTTTCCCCTCCTCTTTATTATATCCCACAATTTGTGGTGACTGTGTTGGTGTTGCTCTCTTTGGAATGTGTTATCAAGGCGCATTGACGAGCTAAGTCAGGGTATGATTTATTGGGCACATTGCATTATGCCCTGCTTTATTTCCCTCCCTTTTTGGCAAAGTACAGATGTAGGCTTCCCTCTTGGAGGAGCAGCAGCTCTAAGCAGCCTTTCTTGCTCTTTGTGACAGTTGCTTTTAAAGGGATACTCCACTTTTTTTGGAAATAGGCTAATTTTACAACTCCCCCAGAGTTAAACAGTTGGGATTTACCATTTTCGAATCCATTCAGATGATTTTCTGATATTTAGAAGAATATCAGTAACCAGACAGTTTCTGGTCTCATTGACTTCCATAGTATATATATTTTTTTCCTACTATGGAAGTCAATGAGGCCAGAAACTGTCTGGTTATTGATATTGTTCTAAATATCAGAAAATCGGCTGGATGGATTCGAAAACCCAACTGTTTAACTCTGAGGGAGTTGTAAAAGGAGCCTTTTTTCAAAAAAAAACAAACAAAAAAACTGGAGTATCCCTTTAAGTACCATTAAGGTAGAGGTAGAGCAGGGTGAATAGAACCATGCTTCAATTACCAACCTCCCCAACTATTATTGGGTTCTGAGGCAGGGATATCGCTCCTCTTTGAATGGGTGTTCGACCATGACGACGGTACTAATGAGTAGAGGTCATGTTTTGTACCTATTAAAGGCAGGGTTCAGCTGTTCTTCTTAGAGTCTGGGTGATGGGATTAGTGGGGACACTGCATTATGCCCTGCTCTCATTCTCCCTGTTTTCCTAAGTAGGAGCAAGGACCCTAAAATGGCAATAATAGTGAAGTTTGTAGCCTGGAAGGTTCATTACGAAGGTTTTAGAACTTGGCAGGCTCCTTTTCTTAATCTGCTCTTAAGATTCACCTTAGGATAGAGCAGGGGGGACAGAAGTACTATGGAAAGTTTTCGAGATTCCCAATGCCTCTCCAATTAATGTTGGACCCATCAGGTAGGGATATCAATCCCCTTTTTGGAGGATGCTCTTCTATGGTCAACGCTAATGATGAAAGGAAGTTTGCCTGAGGGTGTCCCTCCTTGTTATCTGTCACATACTATGGCCTGGTGCCAAATAGACTTGAGGCGCTAGCTGTAGCTGACCTCCTAGCATGGTATGAGCTGCTCTTCCCCAGTTGCATTGTTGTCATTAAGTAGGGCTTAGCTCCCCTTCAAATTCCTTTGGTCTAGAGTCTATGTAATGAGGATTACTGGGCTCACTCTATTATGTATTTCCCTCCTTCCTGAGTATAGGGGACTCTCCCCTGTTGGGGCAGTTGTTGTAAATAGTAATTAAGACTAATTACTAAGGGTTATGATCACTTGCCATGTTCCCTTTCTTCTGCTGCCCTCATGACACCAATGAGGTAAAGTAGAGAGTAGAAAGGATGATGATTCAATGGGTATTCCCAGATTCCCCTAGTTTTGTTTATTCCCTCTCCAACTATATTGTTATGGCAGCACTCTGATCAGATGTGTTCGTAGAAGTGTTTCATGGAGAAAATCTTAGTTCTCCCATGTGACTGTAGAGCTTACACCCCCCTGCACTTTCCCTAAATGTTGAGTTAAGATGGCGAAAGCCTTTGCACGCACTATGTCCCTCGTGTTTTGATTCTTTCTGATGAAAAGAGGGTTATATTCTCCACCTTGGAAGTAGTGGTAGACCGAAGGTCATAGGTGAGTACTCTGTTTGGTAAACTACTCCCTCGCGGCTTTAAGCATTGACATAACTAGCAATTATCAGAGCTTTTGTTTGCTCTTGGGCACTTAAGTTTTTTGTTTTTTTTCCTGCGATGCAAGGAAGGGAGGGAGGTTGTAAAGGCCAGGACTGCCCTCGAAATAGAGCACAATCTATTCTATGCCCACTATGGATTGCAACGGGTTGCCTGCACGTCTCCTTCAGACAAAAGAGATGATGTATTTTGCAGGCAGCCAGGCCAGCACAGTCTCACCCCAAAAAGTCATATAACTGACGTTTTGGGACGTCTTTTGACCATACGTCAATATTCGCCTTTTTAGGGCCCCCTTAAACGTCGGTAGATGAGGTTATGGGATCCTAACTCTACCCCAGACCTAAACCTAACCCGTCACCTAACTGACGTTAAAGGTAAAGCGTCAGTTGTATGACGGCCCGGGATCGCCATCTAGCGACGTTTAAGGGGGCCCTAAAAAGTCGAATATTGACGTATGGTCAAAAGACGTCCCAAAACGTCAGTTATATGACTTTTTGGGATGAGAATTTGTTGGCCAGGCACCCTCTTATGGGCGCTCTGCTTGTAATTTCATAGACTGCCATCAGCAAATAAAATGACATGTTTGGTACATGTTCAGACACCAGTGACACTGAGGGCATTTCCCATAACGTCAACTCCAGAACACCAAGTCACTTACCCTTCTTAGAGAACCATGGTTACATATGTAACATGTAAGCCTATCGTCTGGTTCCACTGACGCACATGCACATTTGAGGTTTTTGATAGCGGAGACGAGACCCTTGTACATGCATAGGAAACGTATAACCTGTGGGGGAAAAGACCTTTTAAATCTTATTTTGAGACAAAGTCATCAAACCTTTTCAGCGATTTTTATCGTATTTTACTGTTGTTTCTATACAAGCAGTTTTTATGTCCGAAATAGCTGCCTGGAGGCTTTGCCAAGACGGCGGCCGAGTGGCATGACTTGCCTAAAAGGACTTTTTGATTGTATGACATCAGAAAAATAAAATGTAACTTATGAGTCATATAGCCTACTTTTATGATACTTGTATGATGTTTTTATTATAGTTTGAACTTAACAGCCCCAGTTTTCACCCTCTTTAAATGTATCATATAAAAACATCCTTTGCACGGAAGTGAAAAGTAATTTTGGGTGAACTAAGTATTAAACTATGTTTATGAGCAATGAGAAAAGTAGTTATGTTGGTTTTTGTACACTTTTTTTTTTTTTTTTTGCAGGAAAGGAGGGTGATTTTTCACACGGTCATTCAATGGAAAGTAATGGTTTGGCAGAGATGCAGGAAACGCGTGTTGGAACAGCACGCAACGCTTAACCATGACACCAATCTACTCAGACACAGCTTCTGTACATGGACCAGAATGGTAAAAATAAAGTAAAAATGTATGTTATGAATCTGCCCTAGTTATTCTAAATATCAATATAGTCCATATGGAAAAAATCCATCAGAATTGGAAGGATTGTTATTTTATATCATTTTATATTTAAAGAAGTGGTTCTCAACCTTTTTTACCCCAGGCCCGAGAAAGAAAAAAAAAAAATCCCCCATTCTTAATATAAACAATTCTCCAATAATAGGAACATTTTCCATTTTAGCCTCCCTTTAAAATGTTCTATTTTATCAATAAAATCATAATGCTATAAACACGCATATTAAAGTCAGAGATAATCTATCTCTGACTAAACACTTAAAAACACAAGAACATCAATCATTTTGTCCTCTTTAATTGTCCTTTCTTGATATACAAATTGTAATTTTACCTTTTCATAATAAGAAAGATTCAAAATTGTAATTATGTTGGTCTTTTTAACAAAGTTTACTACAAAAAAAAAAAAAAACTATCGAAAAGATTCAAACAACCCTTTCAGTATGTTTAGTAAAGACAAATAGCAGAAAAAAAGCTAATTAGCAAAAATAAATGTACTATTAAAAAAAAATTAAGATATTGGCTACCTCATACTGTATATCCGGATTTTCCATGGGAACCCCAGTTCTTTAACCCTCAGGTGCTCTTCGTTTCGGAGTCACACTTGTTATCTTCCCGGTCAAAAGTGACCGGACACCTAAAAATGAAACTTTCTCCATCCCAGTAAAACCAATGCAATTTATTTTTGTTCTATAATATTTATTCTTTTTAATTTAGTATTTTGAGACAGTTTAATTGAAATCTCAAACAATCTCAAAAACTATTTCTTATAAAAAAAAAGACAAAAAACAAATATTCACAATTTTTTTTTCCATTTTTTTTTTTTACAATTTCCCATTCATTTCCTATGGGGTCATTTTTGACCAAAGACCACAAGTGTGACTATTTTTTTTAAGACCACTTAGCATGCTCAGATCATGACCTCAATTTTTTTGTGTGTTCACATACATAATGCCATAAAAGTCACCAAGTTTCGTAACATCGCGATGAAGCTGTGATTTTTAAAAAGTCAAAACATACTTTTTGTAATCAAAATTTATTGGTGTGTATGTGTATGTGTATAAAAGTGTGTTTGTATGTGTGTGTGTGTGTTGGTGGGTGTGTCTGTTTTGCACTCTAGATGTTGTAGAGTGTCACCCCTTTCCTGTGGTGTACTTTTTTTTAGAATCGTGGCCGATTTGTAGATTGTACATACAAAAATTCAGAGAATTTTTTATTTTTTTGTCAATTTCCCATTCATTTCCTATGGGTTGTCATTTTTGACAGAAGAACAAAAGTGTGACTCATTTTTTTACGACCACTTAAATTGCTGGAATCATGACCTCAATTTTTTTGTGTGTTCACATACCCAATGCCATAAAAGTCACCAAGTTTCGTAATTTTCTGAAGAAGCTGTGATTTTTAAATATTCAAAACAGATTTCTTTAATCACAATTTATTGTTTTTTTTTGTGTATAAAAGTGTGTGTGTGTGTGTGTGTGTAGGGGTGGGTATGTCTGTTTTGCACTCTTGATGTTTTAGAGTGTCACCCCTTCAATGCTGAGCACTTTTTTTTCTGCATCGTGGCCGATTTGTAGATTGTAAATTCTCAAAGTTTTTGTGTTTTTGTCAATTTCCCATTAATTTCCTATGGTCGGTCATTTTTGACCGAAGAGCACAAGTGTGACTATTTTTTTTTTTTTACGACCACTTAGCCTGCTCGGATCATGACCTCAATTTTTTTTTGTGTTCACATACCCAATGCCATAAAAGTCATCAAGTTTCGTAACATTCCGATGAAGCTGTGATTTTTTTAAATTTCAAAACAGAAAATTTTTCAGTCAGAAATGACCGAAGAGCACCTGAGGGTTAAAGGAAACTTTAAAGCAAATCCCAACTTGTTGAATGGGGTAAATAATATGTATGGATAAAAATAATTTTTATTAGATTTTTCATTGTTTTATCATTATTTTACCATGTAAACATGTACCTTTATTACTCATAATGGAACCTTTTTACTTCCTTGTGCTGCTTTCACATGCTATCGGAAATTTCCTACTTCCCACTTTTGAAGTTGTAATTATGAGCTTTGCTGTCTTGATAGTCAGCTTGCTAACAATTCTGGAATTTTGGTCTAAAACAGGCCATTCTTGGTGAATAAATCATACAATATTTATTCTTGGTGAATAAATCATACAATATTCTTCAAATGTTTATTAAAAAATGTAAACACTTTGGTGTGAGTGACCCGGGTTCGAATCCAATGTGAGACACCAATGTGTCCCTGAGCAAGACAGTTAACCCCTTGCTCCAGAGGCTTGGGACCTCTGAAATACAGTATATAGCAATTGTAAGTCGCTTTGGATAAAAGCGTCAGCTAAATGAATAAATGTAAATCCCAGAGTTCCCCAGTGGTAAATACAAATTTAGAGGTTCATGATTGATTCAAATTAATGATAGATTACATTTTAAGAAATATTTCTCAAATTAGAAACAAAATTTGGCAAAAGAATATCAGATAAGTTTGTTTCTTTAGCTTAAATCATTCTAACAACCTGTATTTTTGTCTATATTAGAGAAGTAAAATGAGTTGTGAATGTTTCATGTTGATAAATCATATTTAAATCTTTGACTGTGGACAAATGCAGCTTATATCTGCGAGCTGATTTTCTATGCGTGTCATAGGTCATGGGGCCGCACTGCGAGCAGCAGAAGTGTGCTGTTGAACAGATGGAGAGCAAAGCAGAGAGACACAGACTGAACTTGAGCTTCTCCACGTGGGTAACATGTGTAAGCCAGCAGCAGACTGCCAGAGCCGTTTATTTTCGAACATTACAGAAGAGGTACACGTCATATCTGTGACAGCCTGAATGTATTTTTGGCTGTTTTATGGTGGTTATCAGATATCACTATCATGTTTTAAAGCAGTTGTGTTTTATTTATGCACCACTACCATTTCACATACTGGTGATACATCGTTGTGTTGTGTTTAACATAACAGGTTATATCAGTCAGACTGATTAATCAACCAATATTTTACTTTTACATTATCAACAACCACACTGTAAAGAAATATTGATGGTTTAACTTAAAAAAGTAAGTAACCTGGTTGCCTTAAAACTTTTAAGTTTATTGAACTGGATAAAGTGAGTTAATACAATGAAGGAGAATGATTTAATCATCAGAAACTCAAAATTATATGTTATCTGAACTAAATAAATGATTTAAGTTGATTTGACAAAAGAAAAAATGTTGTGATTACTACACTGTAAAAAAATATTGTTGGTTTAACTTAAAAAAGTAAGTAACCTGGGTTGCCTTAAAAGTTTAAGTTGATTGAACTGGAAAAAGTGAGTTAATACAATGAAGTAGATTAATTTAATCATCATAAACTCAAAATAATAAGTTATCTCAACTAAATAAATTATTATAAAGTTGATTTGACAAAAGAAAATATGTTGTGATAACAAATCTTGAAAATATTTTTTACAGCTGTATTAAAAAAAAGTAAAAAAGTAATTTAATAAGGAAAAATCAGTAAATATTATATAAAACAAGCAGGGTTATTGTTGAATACAACTAAAGCCCTATTCGCACGGGATAAGTATTACCTGGTGACCTCTAGTCATTTGTAATAATTGCGGAGGATGTCTGAGATCTTAAAGGAGTAGTTCACTTTTAAAAAAAACTTTTGCTGATAATTCACTTACCCCCATGTCTTCCAAGATATCCATGTCATTCTTTCTTCAGTTGAAAAGAAATTAAGGTTTTTGATGAAAACATTCCAGGATTTTTCTCCATAAAATGGACTTCAATGGGAACCAAACGGTTCAAGGTCCAAAATACAGTTTCGTGCAAAGTGCAAACTGTTCAAAGGGCTTTAAACGATTTCAGATGATGAATAAGGGTCTTATCAAGCGAAACAATCGCTCACTTGAATTATATTTTGCTTTGTTTTATCTATCTGCAACATGGAAGGTAATGCGAAGCTCAATGTGAAGGGCATGTTAATGATAGTGTGTGTCTGTTTCTGTGTGTTTAAGAGTGTTTTGGGCATGGCTGAGGTGTGTGCAGGTCTGTAGGCAGAGGCAGGCGTCAGCTCTGTTCTTTTCACACTACAGACTCTTGCGTGTCTGTTTCTGTCAGTGGAGAATCATCTGTGCTCAGCAGCGGCTCTCCAACAGCATACGACAACACAGACTCCACTTAAGAGTCAAAGTCATCTTACAGCAGTGGAGAAAACATGAAAACCGTGAGTCGAAATCACCATTGAATTAAGCCATATTCGTGTCATTTCTTTTTTTCCTTGCTTTTCTGTTATACTGTAGTTTAAACATTTCCCTTAAAAGGCCTGTATATATTTCATATGTATATATAATGCAAAAAAGTATGCATATTGCCTTATATTGAACATATTGCAGTATGTTGAGTGTATGCATTATAACATAGCAAATAACTATTGATAAACCAATAAAAGCATTATGTTCATGTGATTTAGATCGGGCCCATCGACAGGCTCTTCTGTGTGAGTATGATGAGAGGAGGAAGATTGTCATGAAGAGAAGAACATTTCTCATGTGGAGCCAGGCAGAGAAATATTTCAGAAGATCTCAGAATTATCACCAAAGAGTCTTAAAACACAGGTTTGTGTGTGGAAATGGGAAAAAGCACAGTGTATGATAAGGATTTTTTTATCGGATGATTCTATAACTATAAATATATCAAAAAATATGTATGTCACACTTGCACAGATAAGTCCAATGCAGAGAGAAGTCCAAATTAAACATGATTTAATGACTCGTAAATGTAAGTACACATTGATGGCCTAAGACACGAAACGAGCGGTTGGTGTGAGAAAACGAACAGAATTTATATCGTTATATATATATATATATATATGTATCCTAAGTTTAAAAAATAAATTAATAAAATACATTATATATTCATCATTCAATACTGCTTTGCCCGCCCAGAGAATGTGTCTCGCCCATGAGAAAATGAGCTAAGAAGTACAAACCACAGTACCAAACCAATAGCCCCACAGTAACACGACAGCATAATAAGGGTCCCTACATTCAAACCCAAGCGTTGAGAGCTTTGTCAGTGTCCATACAGTTTAATAAGAAGATATTTTATACACACAGTCAACTTTGCGAATACAGGAAGAAGCCATCTTTGAAAAATAGTCTCTACCAGTCGATCAACGAACGCAGATCCATGTGCGCTGAACTGTGCAGAATCTCATATGGTCCATTGTTTTCGGAAGAAACACAAACACGAACCGTTTTCTTCTCTTTAATATGTACATGTAGCCTATACTGTTCGCGCTCACCTTATCACCTTATTCACATCTCACCAGCGCACTTGGATCGGCGTTCGTAGATCGACTGGTAGAGACTATTTTTCAAAGATGGCTTCTTCCTGTATTCGTGAAGTTGACTGTGTGTACTTGTATAAAATATCTTCTTGTTAAACTGTATGGACACTGACAAAGTTCTCAATGCTTCGGTTTGAATGTAGGGCCCCTTGTTATGCTGTCGTGTTAATGTGGGGCTATTTTGAGCCTTGTTTGTGGTAATAACAAGCGATTTTTATTTGTCATTACTCTATGCCCTATATACTAGCGTTATACTAGCGTTATAGGCTAAACTGTTTTTAGAGATAAAACTATTTACATTCGGCAATCATGAAAACAAATCTCAGATAACGGTTGACTAGGTAACAATGTGTAATTAGACCAAAGGTTCATTTTGCGCCGGAGTTGTCCTTTAAAACTCCAATCTGAAACTGTTTTGGGCAAAAAATGATCCAAAATAATTTTTTTGAGCTAGTACATAACCAGCCAGTGTTCAAAACTATTGGATTCATCCTTGCTGTGCCGTGCCGAGGTACAACTCACGTAAAGTTGATCATTCCGTGAATGACTGCAATTGCAGATTTCGAACAGAGATGGCGACAAAGAGGAAAAAACTGAGGACTGCGGCTGTAATTTAAGAACTGCAAAATGGTTTTGTATTACAAGTTTTCTAAAATGTTATGTTTATATATGCAAGTGGACATCATCTAGATAAATATGCAGTGATCTGCATACATTTCTAGAACATTGTATAAAGCCAGGTAAAAAAAATCTTTGACAAATTAAGTAAAAGGTTTTACAGACAGGGTTTTGGAAAACTCTTTAAGAATCTAATACTGTCAACAGCCAGAAAACAAAAAAATCACCATGTTTTTTAGGAATGTTATGTAAGTAATTTGAATGTTATATGAACAAACCCCTCAGTAAAAAAAAACGTCAGAAAATAGGAATGAAACTGAAAAGTTTAGTGTATGTAAGTGCTACATAAGTGGTGATTTATCGATCTGAAAAAGGCTTGTGGAAGCAAAATATCCACAGATCTTAAAATAACCAGTGTATGAAAAAAGAAAACAGATTTAGTCTATATAGTGTCTTGCCTTAAAGAGGTAGATCACCCAAAAAATCAATATTCTGTCATCATTTATCACTCAAGTCCAAAAATTGAACAAGAGTCAAGACGCATTAGAGGCAATGACTTTTTTTTTTGATGTGTGTTGGTCCTTTTTGATGCTTGACAGACCCAAGTTACATCATTCTTTTTGTAAAACTGTTTTTTTTTTCAAAACCTGCTAGCTAACAATGCATGTGATGCCAACCTCTGCCTCAACAAACTGGCAAAAGCCCCCCAAAATAATCATAAAAATACAGAAAAGCATGTGTGTGCTGTCATTTGCATTGCATTTGTATTTACATGCCAGGCTTTTGGCTTTTTCAGGACTTGTTCTCCATGTAGGGTTCTGCTGGCATGGTCCAGACACACGGTATCAGAGCAAAGACTGAGGTACAGAGAGGCCTGGTTCCAGTACAGCAGTGAGATGAGACTATTGACTGCTGTATTCATGCAGTGGAGAAGAGCTCTGATCCAGGGTCAGCAGAAGATGTGTACAATGGAGAGCCAGCTCATCATCTATCAGAGAAGAGCTTTTCATCGCTGGAGAACTGCTGCCACAGAATGTAGAGCGATTCAAACATTGAACAACAGATTACTTCACAAGGTTTGATTCAGTTGTTTTATTCATTTTCTATATTTTATCAGTCATTTGGCTGACTGATCTCATGTAATTTGAAAATGAGGTCTAGGAGATTGCAGTATTGACCTTTTTTTCTTGAAATAAACATATTGACTAGAATAAAAAGTTTAAGTAATTTTTTTTAATTTTTTTTTTTAGCTAGTTGCCAAGGATTTATTATTTTCATTTAGTTGAAGTGCTAAAATAACTAAAATTAAAAAAATTAAACAAAAATCAAAATGAAAAAAGTACAAATAAAATTCAAAATAGTAACAAAAAATATATTAGTATATCAATTATAATATAATAATACTGCATTCAACTGCAAAAAGAGAGTATACAGTATAATTAAACATAATTTATTATAAATTATGTTACAAAATATGTATTACAAATATATTAAAGGAAGTTACAGTTAATTACTTTATTATTGTTATTTACATTTTTTTTTAAAAGAAACCAGAAAAGTTAAGTCTAGACACCTTTATTTAAATAGTGCTTTATACAATACAGATTGTTTCAAAGCAATTTTACAGTGATAAACAGGGAATTGATGAGCAGTGATGCTAACTAAATTCAATTCTGCTGTGAAGCAGCTCTGAAAAGACAATAGAGTCATTACTTAGTTCAGTGTTGATTCAGTTTGGTTCAATATCCATGTAAAGTTCATCAATTATGGAATGAGTTCAATTCAGCTATAAAGAAGCTCTGGAGAAAACAGTGTTGACATCATCCAGCTCAATTCAGCTCTCGTCCAATAGTGTCAGTGCAGTCAAATTAATGAAATTGCTGAATATTAAGTGCTTTAATTTACATTAATTTTGTGCATTTACTTCTCTTTACAGTGGTTCAAGCATTGGACACATAGCAGGGATTTGTTGAACGTTGCAGACATGTTTTGTGTGAAGAAGGAAAGAAGTGAAGCCCGGTTAGCTCTAAGGAGATGGTCACTGTGGGCCAAAGGTAAACTGTTAGGCCTATTTCTACACATTTGCCTTGCTGATACTATTAAATAATATAGAAATCATGAAGTGATACAAGCGATTAGATTAGCTGTTTGGGTCAGTCACCTCATGCAAATATAATGTGAACTTCAATGTAATTGTAATAAAAAATCTTTGGACACTTAAAGGGGTAGTTCACTTTAAAATGAAAATTAGCCCATGATTTACTCACCCTCAAGCCATCCTAGGTGTATATGACATTCTTCTTTAAGACGAATACAATCAGAGTTATATTAATAAACACCCCGACGCTTCCGAGGTCTATAATGGCAGTGAATTGCAACCAACAGATTGAAGCTCAAAAAAGTGCATTTTTCCATCATAAAAGTGCTCCACACGGCTCAGAGGGGTTGATGAAGGGCTTCTGAAGCAAAACTACGAGTCTGAGTAAGAATAATATTAATATTTAAAACTTAAAATAAAATAAGATTCAATAAAACAATAGAACTTATCAAAAAATATTGTGATAGTTTATGGACGTTTGTGTGAAATTGACTTCATATAGCCACAAAAAATAACCAAAACAACAGTAAAGTCATTGTCAGAAATGAGTTAGTGCTGAGAAGTTTTTTTTTAGCTCTTGTTTGATATTTTGTATTTAGTGCAATAACAGTAACAAGTTTCCAAATGCGTTTCCCCCACCAGAGCATAAAGCTCAGAGGCAGATGGGGGAGGCTGTGAGTCTCTGGCTTGAGGGAAGAGGAGTATCTAGAAGTTTCCATCATTGGGTCAGAGCTCTGTACCAACAATATCAGAAAGCTTCCCAACACAGACAGACACAGCTTTCACACAGGTAAAAACTATATTGGTTTTAAGTAAACCATAAATAAAACAGACTCGCACAACATTAACAAGTTCACATTGGCTTTACAAAATCCCAAAAACTCGAGATTGCTACAGTAATATGATACATTTAGAGCTAGATTGTGAAACATTGTGTGAAGACAAAGCGTTTTATGTTTGTATTTTTTGAGAAATGAGCTGTGACTGTTTTTAAATATTGGTAATGAATATCTAGCTAATAATTAGTGATATTTTCATGAGCCATATCAGAGCTGTGGAGAGAAGAGTTCATGGACTGACCCATCTGTATTGGACCTGTTGGAAGAACCAAACTGAAGCATCATTGCTGTATACACACCAAGTCAGTGATCAACATGAATGAACATTAATTATTATGATTGCTTGATAAAACCTGTCTGTTATTGAACTGCCAAGGAACCAGTGGCTGTCTGGGGCCCCAACTTTTAATCACCAAACAACAAATAACTGACACAAAAATCCAAGTGACAATAAATACAGTAAATACAGTCAGTAAATAGTCAAAACAGCCTTCATTGTCAGTTCATTGTCAAAACAGTTCATTGTCTCATGTTAAAGTATGGTAGTTGTGTTATCGTTTATCCTATGGTAGTTGTGTTATTGTTGTCATATTCCTTCTGCATCTTGCATCGTCTCACCGTTAATGCACTCACCTAAAAGATTATTAGGAACACCTGTTCAATTCCTCTTTAATGCAATGAGATATAATGACATATAATGCCATAAAATGTAATGATGATTGCGAGATTCCTAAAAAGTCTGATGTATCATATTTAAATTTGGTAACACTTTATTTTACGACCCGCAAACAACTGTATAAGTACACTGAAATTACGGTGTACGTTTCTGTAATTATAATGTACTTCCGTGTAGGTATAAGGGAACAATATGTTAAGTTTGGGGTAATAAAGGGGTAACAAACAGATATACAACCTGCAAATAACTTTGTAAGTAGACTGAAATTACGTTGTAAGTTTCTGTAATTTTAGTACACTTCCGTGTAGTTATAAGGGAACAATATGTTAAGTTTGGGGTAATAAAGGGGTAACAAGCAATACACGCAAATTATTTAATTAGTTAAAAAATAACAGGTACCTATTCTGTTAATATATTCCAGGCAAAAATTGTACGTCTGTTGTTTATAAAACATATCACATTTCTGACAAAATATGTTCTTGTGCAATGTTGCAGGGTAATTTTGACATCTGTGGGTTAAAAATTAAACACACACACACACACACATATACACTGTATATATACTATGATAAAAATTAAATTTATTGGCATTTCTTACTAGATTACTTAATGTTAAGTCAAAATAATTTGTTTTTGCTATAATTTTAATTTAGACCTTACCATGTGGTAATTAGTAATAGTAACTTATCCCATTGAATTGCAATGACACTTAAATGTCATGGCAAATATAATGTGTAGCCTAATTAAAAGGTTTTTTTTTTTTTTTTAGATAACAGTACATTTCTCTGTAATTATTACAGTGCGTGTTGTTTCGTACTGCTACATAGTAAGTAGCGTTTGTTACCCCCTTGTTCTGCCTAGTTACAGGGTAAGTGTAACTCCTGCTGGCTGTAAATTAAAGTGGTGCTTGATACCCCTTTATTACCCAAAACTTAACATATTGTTCCCTTATACCTACACGGAAGTACACTATAATTACAGAAACGTACACCGTAATTTCAGTGTACTTACACAGTTGTTTGCGGGTCGTAAAATAAAGTGTTACCTTAAATTTTTACATTTGACACAATTTCAACATGATTTAAAAAATAAATAAATAAAATAATGCATTAATAAACAAGTAAACGTAAGTTGCTTCAGATCAGTCGGTGTTCTTCTTGAAATATTGCTAAAATATAAAAGTTATTCTTATGTTCACTTCAAAAAAATTAGTAAAAAATGTACACAAAAAAGGCATTTGCCTCAACCTGAAGAGGGACATTTTTAGCATTAATAAAAGGCCTTGCTACAGTGAGCGTATGAAAGCGACTAATGAGTGGATGAGTTTCCCTGTTTGGTGTGATGATATTTAATATCCCTGACAGCTTCTGTAGTCCCATTTAGCCACTTGTTAGCAACCACGTTTTTCAAGCGAAGTAAAGACGTTTTACAAAATCACAAGTAGTGATGCACGATATATCGGCCGCCGATATAATATCGGCCGATTTGGTCAATTTTTTACACATCGGTATCGTTCCGATGTCAAAATAGGGCCGATATGAACAGGCCGATGATCATTCCCTGTGTATTTGACTTGCGTGGGGGCGGGGATGTTTGTTTTTGCACGCGTATTAAAAGCGCAAGTGCGTTTAAACATCAAGCGCACGAAGACTGGAACTGGTGAGCTGTTTTCTGCCAGCCTTCCTAATGCGTATTTTTGTCCCGCCAAAGCCATATTTGACCGGTAAGTGATGTAGATGAGTGACTGGTGCGCTTGTTTAACTGAGGGAACGAGAGTCAATTAAAGCACCGGTCACGCGCGCCGCCTTCAAAATGTCTTTCGCTTGTTTAACTCCGGGAACAAGAGAGAGTGAAAGCACCGGTCACGCGCGCCGTCTTCAAAATGTCTTTCTTGTTTAACGGAGGGAACAAGAGTGAAAGTGTAACGGGAATTTAACCCGTCTTGTAGGGGAAAATGTATTAGTGCTGCCACGGAAGACTGAATAACGAAAAGATCTTAGTCCCCGCTTTCAGTACTTTTAATCTCACTACACACTAAATGCGTGTATGTTATGTACTACTTTATTGGGATGTACAGACCGACGAGAGTAGGCTTCAGCTTAAGTAAAGTCACTGAAGTAAAAGTAAAATGAGTTAGACAGTCTAATATACCCCTACCTCCTCTGGTCTAATAAAGTAGCTGAGACGCCCCTACTCCTTGACAGCTCTAAAAAAAACAAAAATACAATGAAGTAAGTATGAAATAAAACATTATTTATTCTGAGTCTTTTTTTCTTCTTTCTTGTAATCAAATTGTAAATTCAGGGTTAATGATCACAAAATGGAAAATAAAAAAAAATAAACAACTGTATGGTCTTTGTGTTTTCCTTTACCCTCACTCTCACTCACTTTCAATGTACAAGCTCTAAACTTTTCACATGTACCAATGATAAACCTCACTCAAAAATAAAATACAAAACAAAAACCTTAATAAACACCACTTAGGATGAGTTCTCCTTTTTCAAATAGTCAGATTCAAATGATCAACCAATCACATTGAAAAAAACACCAATATACACAATGCAATTTCACATTCGGAAAAGCACTTACGTGAAATGTCCCTGAACTGTGCTCACTCAGTTCACCTTAGGTTCTGTGATTCCACAGAACTCTCACAGTTCCTTGGATCAAAAGCAAATGTATATAAAAAAATTATAGATTGACAAATTGAGGGGAGTGGTCTCGACGTAGCGTGCGTTGAAATTATCTTGAAGTTTCGATGCAATATCACTCAAGCTCAATGAAATGTCCCACAAAAAAAATGATTGAATCAAAAATGAGTCAAAAAGCGAATGAATCAAACTGAGATGAATCAAAGATGAAATGTATCACAGGAAGGTAACAACTGAGATACCTCACAGAGATGTGTCCAGCTGAAATGTCGTTGGATGGCAGGGTAACACAAAAAAAAACTCAATCTCCGAAAATAACTATGTTCAGCGTCAACTGCGAACCGCAATTCCCATCTCACGTGCGGTGACACGTGCAGAAGACTTACATGCGCGTGCACGTGACCAATACGGTTGGAACGTCCATTTCAGGAGTGTTTCTCAATCAAAATGAAGTCCAAAAACTTAACAAAAGTGTGAAAAATATCTTAAACCGTCGTCAATCAAGCTAAACTTGTACTTTTAATGCACTCACAGTTCTCATAGCCTTCGCAAAACATTACTGCGTCACTCCAGCAGTCTAATGCGATTCACGGATCAAAATTCACAAAAAAACTACGAACAGGTGTCACGGTTCACGAAAATCACCTGATGTTGTCCTTTATTCGACCAAAGCCCCGATCAACTTCTCTTCAAGTCACTTTATCGAACGAGCTTCTCGAACACGACACAACACTCCTTTAGTCTGACTCACACTCTCATACTCCGCGCTCCTCTCTACCGCAGCACACACTGAACTCCGAAAACCTGTCCACCCGTCAAAATAAAAGTCCCCCCAAAAATAATTATTTTTAGATAATATATACCCGTTACATTCCCCCCTGCTAAACCCTGCCACTCCATCGACATCTTCAGCAGACTCATCTCTGAAACACAAAAAACATATTAGGAAGACATCACATTGTACATGTATAACTCTTGCTCCTAAGACCTTACTTATTTTAGAATGTAATCATTCCTGTATTTCACAGGCATTCTACCCTGGGTTTCCCTCTTTGAACGTCTAAGATTAGGTACCCCAATAGTGTCAGCTTCCGAACTGTCAGAGTCTTCAGATTCCCCAACTTGACCTGTGTCTACTCTCTCACTCCCAGCTACATTACCCTCCTCACATACCACTCCACCCTCAACTTCCCCAGGTAAGCACGTGTTCGGTAAGTGTGTAGTAAATGGAATGTAGACAATGTCTTGCGAATCTGAGTCTGATAATTCTTTTTCTTTTCCCGCATGAGTAACATGCCTTGTGGGTGAGGGAAAAGTACAGTGTTTCAATTGATCCCTGTGAACCACCTTTGTGGGCCCCCCCTGCTCAGGACGTACAGTAAAGACTGGTAAACCTGCGTGATTTTGCTGCACTACCAAATACGGTACAGACTCCCACTTATCTTGGATTTTGTTACGTCCTCTAAACTTGTGGTTACGCAACAATACTCTGTCACCAGGTCTAATGAGCGCTCCTGAAGCCTTGCGGTCATAGACCCTCTTCCTTCTCCTGGAAGCTTCTTGAGCAGTTACCTTCGCCGCCTCCACTGCAGTTCTCAGGCGTTCATGATGATTCTTTACCCACTCATCAAGATCATCCGCCTCATCATCAGATAGGTCTTTTCCTCCAAGGACATCCATGGGCAGTCTTGCATCCCGTCCAAACATTAAATAAAAGGGAGAATAACCGGTCGATGAATGAACGTGACTATTGTAGGCCATCACAAGTTCAGGTAAGTACGCTTTCCAATCCTTCTTCTTCTCCGCAGGTAATGTTCGCAGCATATCGTGCATTGTGCGATTGAACCTCTCGCACTGCGCGTTCCCTTGCGGGTGATAAGGACTGGTGCGGCTCTTGCTGATTCCGTACAATTTACAGAGCTCCTTGATTACACTTGCCTCAAAACATCTGCCTTGATCCGAGTGCAATCGGGCGGGACATCCATAGCAGACAAAC